TTTTAAGTTACGATAATTTCATATGTTTAAGGAAATAAATGAGTTACATTTAGAAAGTCTAATATTTTCATGTAATTATTTAAGTTTATGGAGACTATAATGGGGAGAACGATGGAGACCAGCCATATTATTTTTTTCTTTATATACTTACCAAGTGTGTATTAATACTTGTCCTGATATATGATTATACAAGTTGAGAAGTACACTAATTTTTTTTTGAAAACTACATTATTGTTTTAAAGTTATTCCTAAAAGCTCTTTACATGGTGATTTAAAAGTGCAAGAATCTCCATAAAATGTATTTAAACTTATTATTTTTAAGTATGAGAGGATTCAGAGGAAACATAAGCAACGTTTACCTTAGTAGGATAATCATACAATACTTAATAGCACTTTACAAAGGGCTTAAAACAAAAATTAATGCATTTTTCTTCCAAATACTTCATTGTATTATGGAAAAAAACAAGAAAACCCAAACCTGAAACATCTAGTTATATCTCATAACTACAAAACCAACTATAGTGTTTATACCATTTGCTCTATACTCATCCATTCATTTTTTCCTCTACCTCTCTTTCTCTCAGAATAGTAGGCCTTGGGGCACCTGGGTGGCTCAATGGGTTAAGCGGCTGTCTCCACTTCAGGTCATGACCCCAGGATCCTGGGATTGAGCCCCTCTTGTCAGGCTCCCTGCTCAGGGAAGAGCCTGTTTCTCCCTTTCCCTCTGCCCCTCCCCCTGCTCATGCTCTCTCACTCTCTCTCTCTCTCTCTCAAATAAAAATAATAGGCCTTTTTTTCCTTCTTTTTGCTTAACATTTCCTTTTTATGCTTAAAGTCATTTTTAAACAAACACAGTTTATATATACACTCCCAATGTAATTACTCTTTTATATTACTTAACACACAATTGTGTCTGTGATAATTGTGAAATTTTGCTATTGTTGAACATTTAACTTGTTTCCAGATTTAGACATTAAATGGCATTTCTATAAACATAATATCAATAAATCCTTCTCTCCTCTAGTCTGCCAACAAATATGTCTCAAGTGACTGAATGAGTGAAATACTTGCACATATCCATAGTCCTACCCTAATACACACATGTACTTCATTATCTGTCTATTATCTATCATATGATCCTTCTACTCTTCAAATATGTCTAGTAAAATTGGCTAGAAATAGATGTAAGTGGAATTTCTGGGAAAGATAGGCTTATGAAAAGTAATGTGTTATTTTCTAAAATTATAGAAACGGGAACATAATTTTTTTTCAGAACTGAAAATGACTGTGGGTTCTTTAGCTTGAGGGTTTTTAATTTAAGATAGGAGAGAATATTAGAATCAACTGAGAGATTCTTTCAAAGGACCGCCTCCTCATTGGGATCACGTCTACATTGATGGGGCCCAAGGTTCCCCAGGTGATTCTGATTAGGCCCATGCACTAAAGACACCACCTGTAGCCTTACATCATTGATTTACAAGTCAGAAAACTGAAGGCCAAGGAATGGTGAGTGGCTCAAGTCTGAGAGGTTATTAATGCAGCAGAATAGAACCAAATTTTTCGACCACCATGCTTTTCACTTGGCTTTTCCACGGTAATTTGTAAGTATGTTCTTTGTAAGATGTATTGAATGGAAAAAAATCCCAGGGTCACGTAAGTTTGAGAACGCTGGGTCAAACTCTTGAGTGAGTCCTGTCTCAGAGCGTTTGATGTGCCAGTGTGGTTTGTTACTCTCTTAATGGAAAAGCATTTCCCCAACTTAAGTCAGTGTGGCACTAACCCCTAGAGTATCTTGAGGGATTGTTGTCTTTTGAAACAACTTTTTTTTTTTAAGATTTATTTTATTTTAGAGAGCACATGCGAGGGAAAGCGGGCTAGGGCATGAGCAGGGGGAAGGGCAGAGAAGAGGGAGATTGAGAATCTCAAGTAGACAGGATTGGGGTGGGGGCGCCTTGATCTAAGATCATGACCAGAACTGAAACCAAGAGTTGGACGCTCAACTGACTGAGCCATTCAGGCGCCACTCTTTTGAAAACATCTTTAGATAAATACTCCTCACCATATTACCATTTGTGTGCTTCTATTCACAAATCGTAGAACTGAGGGTAAAAAAGTAGGTGTTCATTAATATGCTAAGTAGTGATCAACCCAGATTTTCTCATGAGTTGGTCCAAATAAAAACATGTGACTGATTTCAACTGTTGATATTTTTAAAGCAGTGGACCCCCAGTTTTAGTGAGTACCAGATCACCTGGAAGGCTTGTTACCCTGCAGACCGGTCAGCCCTTCCGGGGTGTTTCTGAGTCTCTCTGGGGTTGGAGACTGAGAGCCCACATTTAAAAAATTTCAGTGCTGCTGCTTCTCCAAGGTCCATACTTCGAGAAACCATTGTTTTAAAATAAGTGTTGAGGGGCGCCTGGGTGGCTCAGTCGTTAAGCATCTGCCTTCGGCTCAGATCATGGTCCCCGGGTCCTGGAATCGAGCCCCACATCAGGCTCCTTGGGGAGCCTGCTTCTCCCTCTCCCACTCCCCCTGCTTGTGTCCCCCCCCACCGCTGTCTCTCTCTGTCAAATAAATAAAATCTTTAAAAAAAAAGTTGAGATTTTCAGAATATTTTCAGCTGAGAAAAATAGGGGCATCATTCATAGTTGGTGTCCTGTTTACATTCATCTTACTACTGAAAGTCATTTGTTTTAATGTGCCCCTTATTCAAGTCAGTAGTGCTCAGGAACAGACAGCGGTGAGTTTTTAAATGTGTTAGAATCCATAGTTGAATCCACGGCCGAATCCCAGTTATCATTTTCATTCTTTATTAAATAACCATTGAATGTTAGATTCAGAATTCCTTTTGCTTTCTGATTCCTATTTTCCTTATAACTCTTCTCTCTCCTTCTTCATGCTCTCCATGCCTGCGAGTACACACACACCCTAAACTTTGTTTTAGAAAAGAATATGATTAGTGATTCCTGTGTGAAGGTATATTTTCCAAATTTTGGGCTCGAAACTCTACTGTTTGGTTATGTATTCAGTTTCCTTGTGGGATAACTATTAGATATTCGTGACTTTCATATGAAAAAAATCAGTGATCGGTTTTCAAATATTTTTGTCAATGACCAATTTTACAGTCCACGTCACAGCCTAATGTGCACATATATACACATACAGTCCTATCTGAAACACAAGTTTCACAAAATAGCTATTCATCTTAATATATAGAGTGTACTTTTATATATTTCTAAATACATTTCACTTAGGGACGCCTGGGTGGCTCAGTCGTTAAGGGTCTGCCTTCGGCTCAGGTCATGATCCCAGGGTCCGGGGATGGAGCCCCGCATCGGGCTCCCTGCTCGGCGGGAAGCCTGCTTCTCCTTCTGCCACTGCCCCTGCTTGTGTTCCCTCTCTCTCTAACAAATAAATAAAGTCTTAACTTAAAATAAGGTATGTTTCACTTAAATAATTAGGTCATAACCAAGTTTAATATTTCATTTAAAGAATAATTTGGTTTATAAGTACCTATAAAATTGATTACATTACCTGATGATAGGTTGGATTTGCAGCTTTGGAAGCCATTGTTTTTGTTTTTTCATTTAAGGCCATATTGTTCTTATCTATGTCTAAATATTTCCGATGTTGCACTTTCCCTAAGAAAAAAATACACACACACACACACGTGTCCTAATATCTCAGGATACTAATGTGTTATTTGGTCATTTACGTTTTTCAGGGCTGTATGGACAGTTGGACACGTCAGTTCTTTGCAAACCTGCTGATTTTATGTTTTTGGCAGTGTCGTCTTGGGAAATTTTCTGGTTGTCCAGTTACGTCTTTTCTCTTGTTTATCACTTGCATCACTGTAGTGTGCTGCCAAAAAGGGTCAGATGTGATTTGTTTTTCAGTTTGGTTTTGAGGAGATTACCTTTGGAATATGGAAAACAGTCTCCAACATTGAGTTGAAAATATAGATCTGAACTTAATTAAAAAAAAAAAGGGCAGAGTTTTAAAACTGTATTTGAACTGAAAAAAAATTATTTAACATAATTAGCCAAAACCACAACAAAAAGGTTACAGAGCTGCATTTTGGATCAATGAATGTGATTCTCAGTTTCCTGCCAGGGGAGGGCAATAAAGTAATTCGGTATCAAAAGCCTAGTTTCAGTAGATAGAAAATTAATTCTCAACCTTAAACTCCTGTGGGCTTTTTTTGAATCATTATTGATTAGACCTTACCTCCTACCTCAGGAGACAAAATGGTTGCAGTTAGGATTTAATAGTGCTTAGTTACAAAAGATCTTTTCTAGTATACTTTATTTTTAAAACAAAAATTGGTACAACCGGAAAACCTGCAAAAAGCAAGGGAACATGATATAAAATAAGTCTTTATTGCTATTTTTTTTGCAGTCATGTTTACCATAAGTTGTCCAACCAAGAATTATCCTCAACTGCATAATAAAAACTTAGTAGCATAGATAGTGAAATTTATATTGAGGGATAATTTTAATTCAGTTGTGTTTAAAGTGATGTATCCTGTTCTAAAAATGTACATTTTAATAAGTACTGCATGTGAAAAAGCCCTGGTCCCGTCAGGATGATCCTGAGGGACTCCAGCACTGAAGAAATGAGGAGAGAAGTTAGATTTTAATGTGAATATAAAAAAATAATGCTAATTCTGATACCTGAATGTTACTTGTGTATCTGATGTCATCATGGTACTATATTTTTTTTACAATATTTTTCTACATGGCTTCTTCTTGTCTCTGATGTATTTAATATATAACATTAGTTTCAGGTGTACAGCACAACTATTGATATTTCTATGTATTGGAAAATGAGTACCACAGTAAGTCTCAATGTCATCATGTTACTATATTTTTAAATATTCTTATAGATCTGTTTTTTGTTTTTTTTTTGAAGACCATGCATTTGTCAAATGAAGACAAGAACATGAGAGTATCTGGTATCTCAAGTTGTAATATTTTTATTGTCTATCTTTTCTGATACAGCCTGAAAAAAATGAGAGTGAGCCAGGCAGCCAGAGGATAAAACCTGTTTTTATTGAGGATGCTAATTTTGGACGACAGATATCCTATCAACATGCCGCAGTCCATATTCCCACGGACATCTATGAGGGCTGTAAGTAAAAGAATTTAAAACAGCTGTTGGAATACCATGCTCTTGTCTGTCTTTTATATCTGATTTGGGGAAGGAAAAAAAAATGGGATACCGTTTTGTTTACATATCATTTAAGAGTCTGTGGTCAACTCTGTATAAAAGAAGAAGTCTGATTTTTATGAGCGGTTCATGTTCTTAGAGCTTCACTATGTGAATATTTGCAGGAGAGTCTGCGTCCATTGGAGATGTCCTTCTATTATTGGGTAAATTCTGCCTTCCCTATTGCCATCGAAACTGAAAATTGATAGACTTTTAAAAAATCAAAATTACATAGCACAAGTGCACACACACAAATATACAGAGTGTAAAGGCAGAGAGCGATACATTTTAGAAAATGCAGTTTTCAGTCCTATCTTAGGGTTTTCTGTATGTGTCTGCCTGCCTTACCCTAGGATATAGATAAAAAATACCCGCCTCTCCATATATTATGGGCTTAAGATAAATACTGGGGAAAGACTAAAGAAATAGAGAACCACTGAGTGGAAGACTTGCTGGAGAAGCCTTCACTGACTGAAAGGGAGGGGCATAAGTTCCTTAGGACGGTATAGGGCAGGGAGCTTGTACCAGTGGAGTGACAGAGATACCCTATATATTAGTAAGGTAGAGCCTGAGAATCTGACTAGGATAATCTGTTATCTATGAGGACTACCCAAGGCCCAGAAGGCAGGGTCTTCGTTCAGTCGGAGCTCTTGGCTCCTATGTTCGCCATTCTCTAATCAGTTTCTACTCTGCCTTCTTGCCTAAGTAGTTAGTAATAAGAAAGGACCATTTGAGATTTTTAAAAGTACTTTTCTTATATTCCCCTTAATTAGAGAGGCTCTAGGGCAAACTGGGTGTCTAGAACTGCCTGGGTTCTGGAGCCAGATGGCCTGAGTTCAAAGCTAAATTTTTGCAGTATTTTTTTTTTTTTTTTTAAGATTTTATTTATTTGAGAGACAGCACCAGGTGGGGCAGTGTGCACAGGGAGAGGGAAGAACAGACACCCTGCTGAGCAGGGAGCCTGAAGTGGGGTTTGATCCCGGGACCCCAGGGTCGTGACCTGAGCTGAAGGCAGATGCTTAAGCGACTGAACCACCCAGGTGCCCCTTTGCAGTATTTTTTATTTTTTAAAAAGATTTTATTTATTTGACAGAGAAAGAGAGAGCCCACACAAGCAGGGGGAGTGACAGGCAGAGGGAGAAGCAGGCTCCCCCCTGAACAGGGAGCCCGATGTGGGGCTCAATCCCAGGACCCTGGGATCATGACCTGAGCTGAAGGCAGACGCCTAACAACTGAGCCACCCAGGCGCCCCTGCAGTATTTTTTTCTTAAGCAAATCCTTTAAATTTCTGGGCAAGCATTTTCTCGCCTATAAAATGGAGATAAGATTACTAAACTAAAAGATGAGTGAGGATAAAGTAAGTTAATATACTTGTTTTCCAGCCTAGTAGTAGGTGCTATTTAAATGTTTTTTTTGTTACTGTTAATTACAATTCAAGTTTATTTAAGCGCAGGGGACTAAGTACAGGGACTAATAATATAAATTATTTATATTTTGGATTCACTGTGAGATTGTTTAAAAGGGAATTTGAAATGCATATGTAATTCTTTTCATAACAGATTCCCTCTTGATCAAATTGTATTGTTTTTAATTTTAAAAAAGTACATATTGTATTGTTTTTAATTTTAAAAAAGTACATAACGTTTTCTTCCTATCAATTCTTTTAAGATATTAAATATGATTTTTCTTTATTGATAAAAGAAACAAAATGATGTATATGGGTAGTTTCTGTTACATGAGAATTAAACGTAATTAGACTTCTTTACTGTTAATTCCAGGTTCTTTTAGGAATTACCTGGGATTTGGGTTCAGATTTCTTTTTTAAACTTTGATCATGGTGTACTTTTTAAAAGAATTATCTTGATATTTGCAATTACATTTTGTAACTGTTAAAACTATTCAGACAATATAAGCTGTATGATTATTCCTAATTTTTTAAAAAATTTTCATCCACCTTCATTTCAAATTTTTTTTTTATCACCAATTGTTTTTTGGGTATGCCAACAAAATAATCTTACTACTTTTAAGATTATATCTTCCTATTGAATTCACGTTAGAAGAACACACTGGCTGGATATGGAAGTTTTGAGTCACAATAATTTTTTGTCAATACTCTATGGATTTCCTGGCACTGGTTTTTTTTGTTTGTTTTTGTTTTTGTTTTTTTGTCCTCTATTACTATGTTGAAACATGAGGCCAACTTCAGTGTTTTCAATTTGTTAGAAAGCTGTCATTATTGTGTTTCTGTTTTGTTGCCTCATATTTGGAGATTTTTTTCCTTACTCCTGAAAATCAGTATCATTATCAAGAAGATACTCAAGTCACTGATTTTTTTTTTTTTTAATAATCTATGGAACACTTTGTTAAAATATATATATTTGCATGGAAACTTGTATGTAAAAGAAATTAAAACAAGAACCACTGTGACCGAAATAAATATGGCACAAATCAAACCCTACCTACTTAACCCCTTATGTTCTTGGGGAGGAGGTCTGTCCAGAATCAGTAGTCAAGATAGATTCTCTGAGCAAGTCCATAGATTATTGTTTGTCATTCCCAAAGAAAAGAAAGAGAATAAGTTTAAGTGTATTGCAGTTGTAATCTGCTTGCTCGTGGATTTAGAGGTTTGGGGAAGTTGGGATGGGTGTTTTGAAGAGCTTTGTCTTTGTGCCGATTATGCCCACTTCTCCCCACCTTTGATAGGATAGAAAGAGCCAGTGGGTCACAGCACTGTTCTTGGCTGGACATGGGACCCTTCACTGATGAAACTTGGGAATGAGGGTTTGAGCATACTTACTGATTTGTGTGGCACATGAGATGTCTCTCTAAGGCCAGGAGCTTACTTCCTGGTCTGGATGGCACATGAGACACCATTTCAGGCCCAGTATGGTATAGAGACTCCATTTCCTTGCTGACCCACTCAGCCCAGTTCTCTTCCTTCAGATATACAAGATAATGAGGCTCTTCATACTTTGTCTCATTCACGTTCCTATAGAACGGTAAATCTTTTTTTTTTTCCTTTCTGTAAAAAAAATTCCCTTGTGGTTCAGGCAATCTCTTAGGGATTGTCAAGAAATCCTCAAATTTTTCATTCAGTTCTCAAGGAAGGATATGGATACTTTACACATTTTTAAAGTTTTTTTTTTTTCCGCCTCTAAAAAGCGTATACCATGATGGCAAATTTTAATATAGCATACATATTTAACATAGAAAATTAAAGTGTCCAGCAGTCGCAGCTCCTGAAGCTAATCATGATTAACAGTTTGGAGCCATAGTCCTGTAGAATAACTTTAAATGCAGGAACTAACGTCCAAATGAGATAGTTCACACTGCTTTTCAACTTCCTTTTTCCTGAACTTAGAGATTCTTGTTAGAGTATTAGAAGGCTGCAAGTAGGAGAAAGATTTCTCCTCAGGAGTAGGTTACCCAGAAAAAAATAAAGTGATTGTGCTTAGTTTCTCAATGACATGTTTGAGAAATCAATGAAAAAAGGGATTTCTCATTTTTTCCATAGATAATTAGCACCTACTTTACCAGTCTAGTAAATTACCTTGTGCATACCTTTTATGAACAACAAGGGTCAGAAGACCCCACAATTCCATTGGCCTGGTTAATTAATAACACCACTGTTTTTGAATTAGTAGTTGCTTGACTCCATGCTAACCTTTTTTAACGTAGTATCTCCTTTATTTACTATGACATTGAGTAATTTTGAAGAAGGGAAAACTGAAGCAGTCTTTAAGGGAAGGCCATATTAATAAGAGATGGGGTCAGACTTCAAATAAAGTCTAATTCCAATCTTTATATTTTTAATCACTATAATAAATGAAATTCTTGATATTTTACTTTTGAATTAATTTTAACTCTTATGTTATTTGGGAGACAGAATTGTCCACTGGAAATAGTAAGATAATGTGTTCTACATCACAGTCTTTATTTTCTTACTTTTTTTTCTTTCCCCCTCTTTGATTTTTTTTTTTTCTTTTCAGTTGAAATCATATTCATAGTTAAAGTCTTCATCTGTTATATGCTGGAACAGACATGAAAATAGACACAAAGTGAATCTAAACATAATTTTAAAAATATTAATTGCGACATGGTATACATAGGTTTTTTTTTTTAGTGTATTTCAGAAGCTTCATATTTATAAATGTTTTTCTTTCCAACTTAAACTATGTGTCCACATCTGCAGAAGATGATCTTAATAGTCTCAGGGAATAAAAAATACTTTGATTTTGAAAATGAGATAAAATATTTAAATAGGTGTTTTCAGAAGTCTAAGACATACTTGGGAACATGTCTTAATTAAAAAAAGAGAAAGCTGTGTCTCGGATTATTTATTTAGTCTCATTTATCTCAATAGTGGCTCCTACCCCTTTGCTGAAATCTCATCAGTAAGACTCTGACCTCTCTGGCCTCAACTCTCTTAAAATTCATATTCCATGTTATGGGGTGTGTGAGTAAATGACACAGGAGTAAAATCAGAAATGTCAAGAAGATCTTGAAATTTAATGATTACCAGTATTCTTCATGCAGTTCATCGAAATATATCAGATTTACAGGATTGTTCTAGGTTTCCAAATTTAATAAATGTGAAAGCTTACTTTAATTGAAGGCTTAACTGGAGGAAACAGCCTCTTCTAAGACTGTTGTGTGACTATATTCTCATAAGGAATTTCATTTTCTAATTTCTTAGAGGCAATTACTTCTTAAAGTCCCAAGAATTGAAATGGGGTTATCTTTGCTCATTGATATATTTAAAGTTTTAGAGTAGTACATTTAATTAGAGCCGTATCTGAAAGTGTTCATTTTTGAGAATTTCACTGGTTGGTACTTTAATTTTATTTTTTTATTTTTTTTTTTATTTTTTTTTATTTTAAAGATTTTGTTTATTTATTTGACAGAGACATAGCGAGAGCAGG